GGGCGGGGCGGGGCGGGGCGGGGCGGGGAAGGACGGAAGGAGACTCAATTCAGATCCGGTTTTCGGCCTCTGCGTGGAATCCTGTGTTTGCCGCGGCGCTGGGAGCTGGTACAAGGTTCCCCAGGATCGGCCTTGGAGTTTATCCCATGGGGTTCAGGAGGTGGAGGATTTCTGCAAATTTGGGTTGTTCTTCGAGCCTAACGCATTCTGGACCTGGAGTGAAGTCGGGGTGGAGTTGAGGCTGCCTGGAGGGCAATGAGCTCTTGGCCAAGGATGATCACGTCGTGGGCTCGGACTGTGGGTTGTGACTTTCTCAGTCTGTGGTGTGCTGGAAGAAGCTATAGAGCTATCTTCTCTTCCCTGGTGGAAGCATGGTTTTTGGAGTCAGAGATTGAGTTACCCAGACTCAAAAAACAGTCTAAAATGATAGCGCAATAGTTTGCGCCCTCCCCCTTTACTTTCAGATATAAATGTGTGCAAATGGTAGGCACCTCCCCACGATTAACGTAATCATTATATACTGCAAACATGTAGTGATAAAGATAAAAGCATTTAAAAAATGCTTAGAGGGCTGGGGAGATAGCAGCATAAGCCCCTTCCTGGCAAGCACAAGGTCCTGAGTTTCATCTCCATATCAAAAAATAAAGTGCTTAGGTAGGCACGCAGTAGCAGACCTCAAGGAAGAAGGGCTGGGTAGCATGTGTTGCCATTAAACAAAAATGTCAGCAGCTGGGAATGGTGGCCCACACCAGTAATCCCAGCACTGGGGAGGCTGAAGCAGGAGGATTCTGGAGAGTTCGAGGCCAACATGGGCTCTATAGTGAGTTCAAAAAACTAGCCTGAACTGCATGGCGAGACCTTGTCTCAAAAAAAAAAAAAAAAAAAAAAAATCTTTCATGGAGTTCTATGACTAAAGTCCCTGAAAAGGGATAAGAACACACTTTGCAATTTCTTAGTAATTACTAAGTAAAATGTCAGTGAACATCACAAGTACCATAGCTTCCTGAAACCCAAGATTGACTTTGGTGTATATAAAAAATTGTTCAGCCAGGGAGATGGCTCTGGAATAAGCGCTTCCCTGGCAAGCGCAACACCCTGAGTTCAATCCCTGGTCCTGCAAAAAAAAAAAAAAAAAAAATTGTTCAAACTTGCACTTAGTGCAGGGGCTTTCATGGCACAGCCTGCCTCCTTTTCACCTTAGGATGTCTAACTCCAAAGTTTTTATCCATAGTGCTGTGCTGAGATTCAGAACTTTGCAGGGCCTAAAGCTTTTATAAGTACCCATGGAACCCTCCAAAATTAGATACTTACATTAATGTTTATATAGAAAGAATAAACGGGTCACACCCAGTTATGTAGCCCTGGAGATTTAAGTCTCTGTCTTCTGAAACCTCTGTAGGCAATTATTCAACAATGTGTCCATAAAATAATTCCTGGACATGTGAGAGGCCATGGGTTCAATCCCCAGCCCTGGAAAACAAGTACTTCCTAGAGCTTGAAGTGTGGCTCAGTGGTATTAACATGATGTGCCTACCATAACAGATGGGAGGCCCTGGGTTTATTCTCTAGCACACATACAAAAAAGAAAAGTTGCTTTAAAGGATGGGGATGTAGCTCAGAACAGCCCTTGTTAGAATATGCAAGCTCCTGGGTTCACTGCAAAGGAGAAAAAAAAAAAAAGAAAAGAAAAGAAAAAATTTTATGTTGGGGGCT